ATTTGGGGTTCTATATGTCTCACTTTTTTGTATGTTAAAGTCTCTCTCTGCATTTGGAAAGTTTTCTGGTATTATTTCTTTAACCAGGTTTTTAATGCAATTTTTGTTATCTTCTGATTTTTCACTAATTACAGTTAATCTTAGTTTAGTCTTCTTTGCAACATCTAGCAGCTTTTGGATCCATTTCCCATGTTCTCTTGTTTTTAAGTGATCTCCAAATAATTGGTCTCTGACATCAGCCCTATTTTCTAGTTGTGACACTCTGTCCGCACATTGGTTAGTTCTTTGTTTTTGTTTTTGTTTTTTTTTTCTTTTGGTACCGGGGATCAAACTCAGGTCCCTGTGCATGTAAGGCAGGTGGTGGAGCCGCTGAGCTAAATCCCCAGCCCATCACACTGGTCAGTTCTGTTGCTCATACTTTCAATAGAATTTTTAATACTGTATTTCTGCTTAGTACATTTTCATGGACTCTAATTCTTTGCCTGACTGGTCATTCAAGTTTTGTATCATTTTGTTTAGCTCAGCTAGCTTTTTATTAGTATCTTCTGTAAGCTCCCTGATCTTTTTTTCTTTTTCTTTTTCTTGTACTGGGGATAGAACTTGGATCCTTGTGCTTGTGGGGCAGGCGGTGGTACCACTGAGCGAAATCCCTGGCCCTTACTGATCATTTTTGTTTATTAAATCCCTTTTCTGTTTAATGATATCATCTTTTTTTTTTTTTTTTTTTTTTAATACCAAGGATTGAACTCTGGACCTTCTGCTTGTGAGGAAGGCAGTGGCACCACTGACCTAAATCCCCGGCCCCGATGATATCATCTTTGAGCTTGCCAAACACCTTCTTGATCTATTTTTTTTCTTTTTTTTGTCTCTTTTTATCATTTCGTATAATTCATTGTTTGGCTTTTGATTTCCTCCCCATTAATGCCACATGGATCAGTTTTAGTGAGTTGTAAGTTTTTGGAGGCATTTTATTGCTTTGTTGTCTCATTTTCTCTCTTCTCTCTCTGTGTCTCTCTTGTCTGTGATTGCATCTGTCTGTCTGTCTGTCTGTCTTTATGTGTATATGCTAAAGGTTTCAAGTTGATTGTAGTGGAAAGACTTTGTTGCTAGTATGGAGATATTTTCAGTTAGTGTTTGCTTTCCAGAGATGTTCTTTGGTCATAGCTAACTATGAGCCTCTACCATAGATCCAAGTACCTCTGTTAATTTGCAGAGCGGAGGGTTCAGTGCACTGGCTCAGCACCCATTTCTGGTAATGAACTACACTATTGTTGATGTCCCAAAGACAAACTCAGTATTGGCATACAATAAAAGCCAATTAATAGCAACAACTTTGCCACCCTGGTTAAAGCAATAATATCAGCAATGATAATAGAGTCAAAGACAAACAGGTTATCGACATACTTACTACAAAAACCAATAAAGCTGCTGCTGTACCACTCTTAACAATAGAAAAAGAGATCTGTAATTATATTATAGACACAAAGACAAACCAAATATTGACATTCCGTAAATACTAAATGCAACACCATACCACCATTAACAATATAAAAGATTTCAATAATAGCATGGAGTTAACTGAATGGAGTTTAATAGTAATACTAGTAAAGATGGAGGCAGTGGGAAAGGGGAAATGAAAGAAGTAAAAATTGAAAAACAAAGCAAAGGATGATGAGAAGAAGGAAGAGAGACAGTGAGATAAAGGATCTCATTAAGAAATAAGAAAATTGATAGAATAAAGTAACAGAAAATAAAAAAATAATGAAAAGGAAGAAGAAGAAGAAGAAGAAGAAGAAGAAGAAGAAGAAGAAAGAAGAAGAAGAAGAAGAAGAAGAAGAAGAAGAAGAAGAAGAAGAAGAAGAAGAAGAAGAAGAAACAGAGACCAAAACAAAGAAAAAAGAAGAAAAAGAGAAAAAACCCTCCAACCTCCCCAAAACTAACGAAGATAAGGAGAAATGGTTAAAAAAATTCCCGTGTGTTTTTGTGGTGTAATTTCTTTCCTGGGTTTGCAGTTTGGAATCCACCAGATGTGGGGGAAAGGTAGTAGTGACTAAGACCTATTTTGTTCTACACTCAATTTTTTTGTGTGTGAATGGTGAATCCTGCCTAGGGCTGTATTCACTCCAGTTGCTTCCAGTTTGGACATCTCTCTGTGTGCCCTAGGACATGGCTTTCTCAGCCTATTTTGATAGTTTGTGGGTTTGTGAGCCCCCAACCTACTCTAGAGGCCTCTCTGTCCACATACCCCAGGCTGTGGCAACCATCCAACCTGTGGCTCATCTCTGATCACATTGGTACATGGTGAAAGCAAGAAGACCATGGAGCTCTGTGTTGGGTGTCATAGTGGGGACGAAGGGTCAAATAGTCCACAGGACTTAAAGCCAACATTTTCATCCCCAGCTCTCTCTGAAAGCCACATACAACCAACCTGACTTCTCTACTCTGTGGGCTGGACACGTGTCCTTCCAGGCCTGAGTTTAAACTTCTCAGTGGTCTACATCTAGATGTATACTCTCCATGACTATCTTTTGTGGCCACTATCCACCCAATCACTATGGTAGGGCAACCTCAGATACCCTGAACTGTAAACCTCCTTCCACAATGGCTCCTGATTATATCCTCTCAAATATTGTGGACCTTGCACTTAGTTTCTTCTCCAACTCAAGCCTGCCACATGGAAGGAATCATTTTCAGAGTAAAATCCCACACTCTTTCTGCAGCTTACAATAACTGTGGGATTTTCTTGGCCTAGTGTGGCTGGCCCAGTCCATTGTTTCTCCTTGGAGCTGCTGGTTGCTTGGGTCCACTTTCCAGACTGCTTTGTTCTTTTCTCTGCATTTTGCTCTATTTCTTTAGTTCCTCTGTAGTTTCTAGTTTTCCCGTCAGCTCTCTCTTGATTTCCAGAGATGAGATCCTCCTCTTCCTTACCTTCCTCTCCTTCCTTCTTCTTTCACTCCACCAAGTTGTTATTTTCCAGGTATCTAGATTTCAGGTCTCAGAGAGGCCATCTTTTGTTGCTAGTCTTTATTCCACTTTTTTTTTTTTTTTTGGTACTGGGGATCAAAAACTCAGGATCTTGCGCTGCTTGTGAGGCTGGCATGGTGCCACTGAGCTAAATCCCTGGCCCCTACTCCACCATTTTTAATCCTCCAAAATCTGAGTTTGCACATTTGTCTCCATTGTGCTTTTATGGTGTCCTTCACCCAGAGGGCTCCAGAGAAGACAGCCAAGGTGTCATTTCATAGTTTGGTAAGTGGGTGTATATTTATCCTTTGTGATATTAATGTTGAAATTCATATCCACTGAAGGACCGATTTTCATGGATGATTTCATTTGTTCCCCATGAACCTAATGAGGTTGAGTGTTGTGTAAAGAAGACTCAGAAGCCTAGAGGGTTAAGGTGGAGACTAACTCCATAGCCTGTGCTCTCACCCCAGCAGTTTAGACCTGCAGCTGTGAGCCTGTATAAACACCTTTATGTGAGTTAGAAAAGGGGTCAAACAGGCTAAGGAGCCTCACCAGGGTGGAAGCCGCCCTGCTGAGGTGCAGAGCACTGGCAGCAGAGTGAAGGCTAGGTTTCTGCCTTACATACTCCCTCTGGTGGACACCTTTGCACAGCGACAGTGAGCACGTTCCCCTGCCAGAAGCTGAGAACAGAGGCAACTCTGCTGTTTGGGCCTGGCTATTTGCAGCATCAGACCACACACCCAGGTGCCCCAGGCCTAGTCCTCTGCCACAAAGCCCAGTGGTTCTGGAAATAATATTCCATAAAACCACCACCATCAAGCACACAGTCAACTTTGGAGCAAGCCACCATCATGAAGCTTTTGCCTTGCAAGGCTGTGGGTGACAGGGGCTGGGTCTGTAAGTATGAGGGGCCCCTTTCTGTGAGAATATCATCCCTCCAGGCAGGGAATCATAGTCCCTCATCTGCATATTCAAGCCTGCTGTTTTAAAACAGGTGGAACAGAGAGGTGATGGCACCTGGGGAGCCTTGTCATAATGCCCTTCACCTTCTCACATCAAACCTGTGTCAGAAAAGGGATCTTTCAATAACCCAAGGGCATAAAGTGTGTTATTATCATTTGCTTGAGAGGCACTAAGGATGCAGCCCTGCTGGGGCTGTATTCTGAATTCTAACCCATATCTTGAGGAGAAATGGAAGGGCTGTTCCCCTTGGTCATTTTATTTTGCGTGTGTGTGTGTGTGTGTGTGTGTGTGTGTGTGTGTGTGGTTCGAGAGAGGGTCTCATTATATAGTTCAGGCTGGCCTCAAACTCATGGCAATCCTACTGCCTCAACTGCCTGAGTGCTGGGATGACAGGTATGTGCCACCACACCCACCTGTGCATCTTTTAACAGCTCCAAGTCCATTCCACAATTATAGGGACAAGATTAGGGAACCCAGGCCTGAGGTCTTTACCTTGGCTACTGTCTTCATCATTTTCTCCAGAAGCTTCTTCTGGATCTTCATGAGAGTCTAGTTCCTCTCCACTTTCCTGTTGGGTTAACCACAAAGAGCACATAAGACAAAAACAAATGCAAACACCTCTGTGGACCATGCCCTTTGGTAAAAGGCAATCCAGCTTTTTTAGTTGTTTCTTTTCTTTCTGCACTGCTGGAAATAGAACCCAGAGTTTGAGCATGCTAAGCAAGTGCTCTCTCCCTTAAAATACACCTCCAGCTTCTTTCTTCATCTTCTTTGTCAATTCTCTTACCTTCATGTCCAGGAGACATTACCAGTGTGGTATTCTGAAAGCCAGGCAGGCTGGGGAGTGGTGCTGAGCACTGCGAGTCCAGTCATGCTTAGGGTCTGGTCCTGTTATCTCATTATATAGTTCAGGCTGGCCTCAAACTCATGGCAATCCTACTGCCTCAACTGCCTGAGTGCTGGGATGACAGGTATGTGCCACCACACCCACCTGCACATCTTTTAACAGCTCCAAGTCCATTCCACAATTATAGGGACAAGATTAGGGAACCCAGGCCTGAGGTCTTTACCTTGGCTACTGTCTTCATCATTTTCTCCAGAAGCTTCTTCTGGATCTTCATGAGAGTCTAGTTCCTCTCCACTTTCCTGTTGGGTTAACCACAAAGAGCACATAAGACAAAAACAAATGCAAACACCTCTGTGGACCATGCCCTTTGGTAAAAGGCAATCCAGCTTTTTTAGTTGTTTCTTTTCTTTCTGCACTGCTGGAAATAGAACCCAGAGTTTGAGCATGCTAAGCAAGTGCTCTCTCCCTTAAAATACACCTCCAGCTTCTTTCTTCATCTTCTTTGTCAATTCTCTTACCTTCATGTCCAGGAGACATTACCAGTGTGGTATTCTGAAAGCCAGGCAGGCTGGGGAGTGGTGCTGAGCACTGCGAGTCCAGTCATGCTTAGGGTCTGGTCCTGTTCATCTGAGCGGTGCACCGTGTGAGCGTGTGTAGGAGTTCGTTACAGAAAGGGGGATGAATGTCATGGGCCAAGGCCACTGGCAAAAAGAGGCAGGGCACCTCCAGGGACTTAGCACACAACAGGTATGTCCAAAGCAGAGACAGAAGCAGGGTGGGAAGTGGTCAGACCTCCAAGGCCTAAAGACAGGCGAAGGATCTTGTCCTTTATCTTGAGAATAAATGGAAATCACTGAGCATGTGAAGCATGGGAGCCAAAGGATCAGCCTGGCCTTTTGAGAAATTCTCAGGATTACTACATTGGATTTCTTATTACATTTGATCCTGTCTTCCTTCTTTCTCTGAGTCACATGCAGTATTTGCAGTCTCACCAACCGTACATCTCTCTGTAGATGGTTCTCAACCCTGGCAGCACATTAGAATTGTTTAAAGAATTTTTAAAAATATGATTCCCAGGACTTAACCCCAAACAATACAATCAGCCTCTCTGTTCTGTGGAGTGTTTAGGCTTCTAGAGTGATTCCAGCATGCAGGTGGGAGTGGGAATCACAACTCTTCTCTAGTGGTCAAAAGGGAAGCTCTTTAGTAGCCAAAGAAATGTGGCAGATGGAGTTGGTGACCCAAGTAAAGCCTGTCAGGACCCCACTGCCTGATGAGGTGGCTCCAGGCCTTTTCCAGTTGGATCCCGTCCCAGCCACAGCTTCATTTCAGTGACAGAGCTGGAACGCGCTATGCAGACGCTGGAAGTCTCTTAGTTTTCTTACACCTTTTAGTGACAATCAATTTCCCACTCTCTTATCAAATACCAACCTCTTTGGGAAGAGACAATTACTCACCTGCTAATTTGGCATTCTTTTAAAATTCCCCACTGAGTTTCCTCACTTGCTAGCTTTTTACCCTGTGTGTTTCTCACTTGTGAAAAAGCTAAAGTAGGTAAATAATTTTCTTTGTTTTGGGTTTCTTATTTTCGAGACAAGGCAGATTTGGCCTGGCACAGTGAATAAAATCCATCCCTAAATAAATGAAAGTTTTTTAATGGTATCACAGGAAAATCCTGCCTTAGTTATAGTAAACTAAGTTAGAAGACTAGAAAAGAGATACAAATGTTTTGAAGATCTCTGTCTTTTTAATCTCTGGCTTTTAATCTAACAGAAAGTAGGATCAAAATTGAGAAACATTCTTTCTCTAGGGAAGAATTGCAAAGTCAAGGAGGATAAAACTTCATCTCAACAAATTGCAGGTGTGAGTCATGGGAGATGAGGAGTATTCTCATTTCACAGATGGGGAGATGGAGGCAGAGAAAGTTGAGAATTTGGAAAGACTCTTCAGGTGAATCCATGATAGGAAAAGAAAGTGTTAATTTGAATTTCTTTCCATTCAGTTGCATGCTGTTTAAAAGTTTATAAAAAGAGCTATCATTTTAAAGATATAGAAACACATATATGAAATAAGGTCTGCAAGTGCCAGGTCCTGAGTTCAATCTCCGATGCCATCCAAAAAAAAAAAGAAAAAAGAAAAGAGGTCATTCATTGATTGCGGTAAATTAGAATTAACCTAAATGTTCCATAAACTGGAAACCAGTCAGATCAGTGGTGGTCACCCATACAATGGAATATCATGTAACCATTAGCAAGAGCAAGGTATCTCTTCACTAATTAATATAGAATTCCAAGAAATAGTATATAAAAAAGACTAAGGAATGCATATAATGTGCTAAAATTGCAAACAGTTTCCACCTTCTATTTATATGTCTGTATTTGCTTATGTATGAATTACACATTAAAATTAGTACTTAGTAGGGCCAGGGATTTGGCTCAGTGTTTCCACTGCCTGCCTCACAATTGCAAGGACCTGAGTTCTATCCCCAGTACCCCCCCAAAAAAAATTAGTACTTAGTACTAATTAGAAATTAGTATTAGTAGCTATGGGAAGAGAGCTCAGCAGCCGGGAGACACACTATCTTACATTTTTCAAAAACCTTCTGAGCATATTTCAAATTTCAAATTTGAATTAAAAACTAAAGCCAAATAAAATGCTACCTGGTCTTTTAAAAAGTTACAAATGCAGTTGCTAAACTGAGTGATTGGAACATAGGTAATATAATCCTATCTGAAATGCTGGGGGCCAGAAGTGTTTTGGATTTTAGGTTTTAAACAATTTAGAATATTTTCATATACATAAAGGGATCTTGGGGATGGGACTCAAGTCTAAATGCAAATTTTATTTATGTTTCAGACAGACCTGAAACACATAGCCTGCAGATAATCTTATATAATATTTAGTGCATTTTTATTATGATGCATCAAATGTGTCGGGGTGGATTTTTTTTTTTTTTTTTTTTTTTTTTTGATACTGGGGATCGAATTCAGGACCTCGTGCTTGCAAGGAAGGCGGTAGCTCCACTGAGCTAAATCCCCAGCCTTCCACTGTGGAATCTTGTTGGTGCTCAGAAAGCTTCAGATTTTGGTGCATTTCAGATTTCAGGTTTTCAGGTTATGAATGCTCATCCTGTAGTAGTTGGTGAGTGAGCAAAACAAACTCAGAGGCTGCAAATTCAAATTCCAGTTCTACTACTCCGGGAAAGTCATCTGTTTTTCCTGTTCATTTAGCTGAAGAACATTTATTGAGTGTCTGCTTGTACCAGGTGCTGTGTTAGGCACTGGGAAGCTCACTTGTGAGGAAACAACAAGGAGCCTCACAGGTGCAAAGAAGTGTGGTAAATACCATGACAGAGAATGATGGTTTTTGTAGGAGCTCCTGGAAGCGAAGCTAAATTAGGCTGGGCAGGTTGGTCTGCAGGGGAACTGGTGCTGAGTCTTGCAGGGAAGGGAAGGTAGGACCATTCCATGTGGACGCAGTGTGCATGCCGCTGAGGAGAGTCTTGTGTGGCTGCAGTGGGGGACGGTACAAATCAGACACAGGCTGGACCTGCAAGTTGCAGTTTGGAGTTTTAGAAAATTTGCATTTGTTACATTTTTCAATTTGTAAAAGAAACGTAGCTTTGATGGCAGGGATTTAACTGAAAGGCCAGTGGGGGACATGGAAGGAAGCTGTACTGAGTTTTGTTGTTGTTGTTGTTTTTCCTGGTACCGGAGATTGAACTCAGGACCCAGCCCCTGAACTATATTTAGGAAGAACAGTGGTGGCATCACGGACTTGTAGGCCTAACTGGGGAGGGAGGAAGTTAACAAGCACTTATAAACATGAACAATGGACTCTGCCTTATGAGTTGAGTCCTTTACAAATGTGAACATTCTTTGAAAACTATTATTTCATGGAATTCTCACCTCACCATTAAGAGGCAGATGTGAGATCTTAGAATTATCATCTTCATTTTACAAAGAGGAAATGGTCCTCAAGTATTCCCAAATCACTCAATGTCAGAAAGGACCCGGGGCTTCCCCTTCCCAACCACTGTATTGGACTGATACCCTAATATTGATCATATTCCACTTATCCCTGGGCTTCATCTTCCTCCTTCTCCTCTTCTCCCCCATTTTTCTTCTTCCTCTTTTTTTTGAAATGTAAGACTCACAGTTCTGAGTATTGTACCTGGCAATATTACCCAAGTGTTGTAGAATCTTGAGTCCTGAAACTAGCTTGTGATCTCTGCACATTTCCTGCCAAGTGATTAACGAAGCATTCTGGAATGACGCTGGAGGCCAGAACTTATCTCTTAAGGCAGCCTGCTCCATCTTGGGCAGCATTTTAATTCAAACATTATTTTCCTATTCCTTTCTTTCACTGAAATTCATGCTATTCCTTCCCAATGTGATGGCAGTATTCAGTGGCAGTGGCATTCACCCTCAGTGTGATGTACTACACCTGCCTGCATGAGTAAAGCTGGAATCAGCCTCCACGGGTGGGGGCTGCTCTCGCCCTGGGCATGGTTGGCTCTGGGCTCTAGTTCAGGTGGGTCCCTCTACCTTGCGCTGGAGGGCTCCATGTGCTACCTGTATCTGCCATGGCTATGAGGCAGATGCTGAATTTTCATCCTTCAAATCTTCTGGGCACAGCATACATAGCTTTCATGTCAATACAATGCATAATATATTCGATTTTGTATGTAGCATTATTAGGCATTATTGCTATTTTCTGTCCTACTACCATGACTTAACCTTGATAATTTAAAGCTGTATCCTAATACATTGGGAAAAGAAAAACTGTATCCTAATACATTCACCAGTTCATTACCATTTCTTCTTGAAAAGCAGAATAGAGTTTCTAAAACCATGTTTCAATTTTTACAGGAACTCACATGTTTTCTGAACCAATCATATTTCCCCAAATCTAAGACTGCTAGACAATCTAGATGAAAATGGGCTAGTAAGTTGTCACTGGTGTTGTAAAGAGGTTTTTGACTATGAGGAGGATTCCACATCTGATAACCGAGGAATGAACACATCTCTCCCACCTGGAGCTGCCTCTGCCTTGTTAGCATCCTTTTCATTGTTTATCTCTCTGTACTGCAGGCTCCTTGGAAGGTCAAGGAGAGGATTCATCTCCACAGCCTCAGTGCCCAGCACAGTGTCTCCCAGCACAGTGTCTCATATACATAGTGGGCTCACTATAGGTTGGCCAAAGGAACCAAGTGATCCCTGGAGGAGAAAGCTTCATATTAAGGCCACAGCACTCAGATGGGAGAGAGCAGCACAGCTCTGTAGGCTCAGAAAATCTTCCTGCCACTGGATGCATGCACAAGGGTAGAATTCTCTAGGAGAATTCTGGGTGCTTGGTTATCATGGTAGGTAGTGCTTTTGGCTGGACAGGGCTCAGTTGGGATCTGCGGTGAAGCTTTATAGCAGGTGCTGAGAGCAAGGGCCCTGGAGCTGGGTGCCTGCCTGGGAATCTCTGTCTGCCATTTGTCAACTGCATGGCATGCTTCAAGTTACTTCACCTCTCAGTGCCTTTGTTTTCTCATTTGTAAAAGAAGCGCCTACTTCTTAGATCCAGTTTGGGAATTAAAAGAGTTTGTGCATATGAAACTCAGAACAGAGCCTGACACCTAATAAGTGCTGAGAAATACAAGCAATTGTGATGATTTGCATTTCTTTCCATTTCCTTGGGGGGTCTCCACCTTTCTTACCCCCTACCGTCATTCTCTGCAATGTGCAATGTGCTTCCTATGTGCACCAGGCAAAAACGGATGAAAAGCCCATGGACAGGCAGGAGATCCACGAGTGGAAATGGGTAGAATGAGCTGGTTTCCACACCACTCCAGACAGGAGGACAGGCTGCATGCTTTCCTCTGCTGGAATTCACCGCACTTGTCTGTATAGCCCTGATACTGGCTCTCTACAGGCAACCCCTAAGAACCCAGGTTTCCCCTGGGCAGCAGGGAGCAGGCCTGTGAGGGAGAGGGGTTCACTCTGAACATCGGAGAGAAGGTGGGGTCATGCGGCAAGGCCTGGCCTGGGAATCAGACCACTGAGGATGCTCTGGGGGTCCCAAGAGTCAGGCTGAGTCACCATTGTGTGGGACTAGAGGAGGATGGACTGGAAAGTGGGCTTTAAGGGTGACAGCACTTTTCCTTCTCTAATGCTATGCCAAAGTTGCTGAACACAGAAGTGTAACATACAAGCATTGTGAGCATTATATATACAAAAAATTATCATAAAATTCCCCATTCTGAATTCTGCGGTTCCTAGATACTACATACATCAACAGTCTTGTCTCATTTCCTTCCCACTGATTAATTTTTAACATGCTATGGATTTTGCCCATTTGTTATGTTCAGTGTCTGTGGTCTGCACTATCTTGGAGAAGGGCAGGAAACTTGGTCTGTGGGTTTGGTTTTGTTTTTTTGTGCTGGGGATCAAACCCAGGGTGTAATAGATGCCAGGCAAGTGCTCTCTGTCACCAAGCTACATCTCCTGTCCACCTTGGTCTGTTTTGCTCATGAGTCTATCCCAGATGCTCGGAAAGTGCCAGACACACAGTAGGTAGCGGACGCTCGAATTAAGTAGCGATGATGATGGTGTCACATCACAGGAAGTATCAACCATAATTCTTTAAGCCCTAAGGGAAGAACTAAACTGTTATTAAGAATAAAAAAAGAGAGCTGGGGATTTAGCGCAGTGGCCCAAGGTTCTGAATTCAATCCCTGGTACCAAAAGAAAAAAAAAAAAAGAAAAAAGCTGGGAATGGTGGTGTATGTTTGTTACCCTAGCACTCTGCAGGCTGAAGCAGGAGGATTGCAAATTTGAGCCCAACCTGGGCAACTCAGTAAGACCCTGTCTCAAAATAAAAAATGAAAAAGGTCTGGGGAGGGCCGGGATTTAGCTCAGTGGTTCTACTGCCTGCCTCGCAAGCGCAAAGACCTGAGTTCGATCCCCGGTACCAAAAACAAAACACAGCAAACAAACAAACAAACAAAAGGTCTGGGGATATAACTCATTGTGAAAGGTAGTACTGAAAAAATAATAAAGATATTTTCATTATTATAAGTAACAGTGTGACAATAGATTTTGAATTCTTGAGGTAGCAAACAGCTTCTGTGCTGCCCAGAATTATTCTCCCTCCTGTCATCATTCTCAGCCCGTTCTCAGGTTGGCATTTCAGCCGGACACGTGACCCATATCACTCCATACTTAGTCTGGAATGATCTGGGAAAGTGAAACCAGTGCACATTTTGCCATCACTAGGCAGAGCCCACCCAGTAGAAAGCCTGGAAAAACAGGATCTGGTCTTGGAGACAGATTTCAGGCCAACCCATGATTTTTTATTTCCAGGACTGAGGACTGAACTTAGGGTTGCTCTATCACTGAGCTATACCCCCAGCGTACTCCCCCGTTTTGTTTTTTTTTTTTAATTTTGAGGCAGGAGTCTCAATAAGTTGCCCAGTTTGGACTCAAGCTTGTAATCCTCCTGTCTCAGCTTCCCAGAGTGCTGGACTCATAGGTGTACGCCACCATGCTGGTTACATGCATGCCTCTTAATCAAAGCCCCATATTACAGAACTGGGCTTCAGGTGTCCTAGAGAAGGTGAAACTGCAGACCCTGGCTTAGCTGAGATTAGGAGGGTGACTCTCATGGGCCCCAGAGTCACAGTTAGTACCTACAACAGTAGATAGGGCCCTCGTCACGACCTCTGCAAACTCTTTGTCCTCTTCTTCACAGTGTTCACCTTTCTGAGCCCCTTCTTATCAGGGATGGTGTGCTCTATGGTAGTGAGAAGGAGCTGAAGTCGTTCTAAGTCAGGCCTGGCTCTGGTCCTGGTCAGTTTCTTTCACTCCCTGGTCATTTATTTCCAGTTTAATGAGCTCTGAGAAGGGAGAGAGATGGGAAAGGACAGGGCCCTAAACCAAAGGCTGTGGGATGAAAGGTAGGCTGTTCAAGTAGCATTGAGTGTGATCTCCTGTGTGCCAGGGGCTGTTTAGATGCTGGGGTGGGAGGACAGATGGCACAGGTAGACTCACATCCTTGGTACCTTTAACCAGAAATGAAGCTGAGCTTAGGAGATCAAAGGGCTCTTAGAGAACAGAAAACAAAGCCAGATATCCAGAACAGAATCTGCTGTTGACTTCTAAATAGTTAACTCAAGAACAGTCTTCTCCAAGCGGGATCATCAACTCTACCAAGTTACAGTGGTAAAACAGTAGCAGTTATGTTAGATACTGGTGAGATAAAATGAATTCTGTTTGCCGTTTTTATGAGGTGGTTCAAAGTTACCCTTTCCTCTCTATTCCCTGGTCCTCACCACCCAAATCAGACACCCAGCTGGTTCGTCCCTGACGGCTGGCTGCGATTACTGTCCTAATTTGTTCTTTCTTCATCTGTTACAAACTGCCTATTTTCTGTCCCCTCTGATAAACCAGGGGCACTGGGGACTTCTGAAGCTGTTTTTGTAATGAGCAGAAGTGTATTAACTGGAATTCCTGTGTCTGTATCTCTAAAGCCCCTCGTCTGCTCAGTGTGAGATCACCTTCAGGAACGGCGTCATGTCGATGTGCAGCTTGCGTGCGGAAAATTCTTTTCTGTTTGAACACATCAGCTCTTTATTTATACAACTTTGAGGCTCTCCTGTCTTCTGAGCTGTTGCCTCCAAGGGCTGCAGGGATCCCTAGGAGAGAAGCAGAAAGCCTAGCTTTCAGAGGCATGCTGTACAGTGCAACAAGAGCTAGTCCAAATTCTCAATATTTATAACAAGCATATTTTATCATTGCAACACTAATAGTAACACTTATTTTTTTACCGTTGGAGGCACAGAGGGCCCATATATGTAGTGAATAACCTAAGCCTGGTTAATAATTAGTACCCGGAGAAGTGGAAAAAGAGACTTTCCCAGAGTTGCAATTATTTCTTTTAATCCTCATGATAGTCCTGTGAGGTAGAGATGTCACCCCGTTACAGGTGAGGAGACCTGGAGGCTCTGGTAGGGTAAACAACTTACCCGAAGCCACATGCCCAGAGATGACATCATTGCCAAGACCCTTTGTAAAATGAGATTTTTTTTTTTTTTCTGGTACTGGGATTGAACTCAGGACCTTGCACTTGCAAGGCAGGCATTGTGGTGCCACTCAGCTGAATCCCCAGCTCCCCTTTTTTGTTTTTGTTTTTGAGACAGGGTCTCACTATGTAGTTCAGACTGCCCTGGAACTCACTATGTAGCCCAGGCTGGTCTCTAACTTGCAGTGATCCTCCTGCCTCAGCCTCTCAAGTGCTGGGATTATAGGTGTGCAACACCACGCAGGGAAAAATGAGACTTTTGATATTTCTTTTTTTTTTCTTTCTGATACTGGGGATCAAACTCAGGGTCTTGAGCTTTGAGGCAGACACAGTGTCACTGAACTAAATCCCCAGCTCAATTTTTGATATTTCTATGGATCCCTGAATGGTTGCCCGATCAGCCTTGCAGCAAATGAGGTTATTGCAAGATTCCAGTTTACTTCCAAGCTCAAAGTGCATTTGATGTGTTAGGAAGAGTGATGGTGACAAATGTAGCAGAGAGAAAAGGAAGAACTGGCTACAGAAGGAGTCTAGGTGACCTCCCGGAACATGGAGCCCTTCCTGCTGCGCCCACAGTGACGGTGGAGGCTGTGCAATCCCCTCCCTGCCAGACAATGGTGGGCTCCCCGAGTGCAGGAGTCACAGCTGTCCTGTTTCTGTTGTCACCACAGTGTCTCTTCGGGGTTTGGAAATGAATACACAGTTGACAGCATGGATTCTGGAAGTGAGCTGCAGCTCCCATGGGAAGGGCCGAGGAGCACACCTCGCAGGAAGTGTGCAGACTCCCAGAGGCCTGACCTCGGTGTAGCCCTGGCCCCTCATGCTCAAAGAGAAAAGTGATTTGTTCTTTTTTTTGGGACTAGTTTTCTGGGGTCGCATACATTAGTGTGCCATGAGATCACTGGGTGTGGGTTTGATCATTCCCATATTTTCTAGGAGACTAACTCTCCAATGTCTGTCTCTCTGGGCGCTCATAAACTCTTTCTCCCATAACATTTGTCTTTCTTGTAAGCATTCATGAGGAATTAACCATTGCTCTATCCCCACGAGCAGCCATCATTCCATAGAACACCCACACCCTTTTCCTTTGTTTGAAAATGTGGCTGGAGATAAAGACTTTTTTCTGGACAAATATATATCCAATTTCTTGTCATCCCAGCTATATATCTGATTAGCTTTTCTGAGTGAGGCACCCCTTCCCCCTTTCTTGATCAAATGAAACCATTTCTTTCGAGCTCAAACTAGACAAAGCATTTCAAGCTCTCTAGGCTCCACAGTTTTGCATGGATCAGTGGATTGAGTAACAGAAATCAGGTAATACTGATTTGAGGGAAAATGTCTCCATTATCCCCAAAGAAGAATTTGTGTTAGGTTATAGGACAAAAGGCACAGCCAAGACCAGTTCGAAAGGCTGAAACTGCTTTAACTGCTTTGGTGGGGTTCAGATTGAGACTTGAGGGGTTTCCAGGAAAGTTCCTCCTAGCCACTTGACCTGTAAATCTCTCTCTAACAACTGTCTTGACTGCACAGCTCCTCTCCCTAGTGTTAGGGGCTATCAATTCTGGCCTGTTTTCAGTGAAGCCTCTATAGTCATGGGACTATACGGGGTTGTTTTTGCTTATTATGTGCAAATGTTCTAGCAAATAAATGACAGTAAAAGGCAGCACGGGAGATGGGAGTAAAGAAAGGATTAAACGTATAAATAAGATTCTGGGAGACAGTGATAGCAGGGGGAAAGAAGTTGAAGCCAGGAAAGCAAATTATGTGCTTAGGTGGTTTTGCATTTATTCATTAACTTGATATTTACCAAGTGTCTAGCATGCACCACACAAATGAGTGCATGACTAAGCAAGATGATTTTATTTATTTACTTATTTGTTTGTTTATTTATTTTGGTACCGGTGATCGAACTTGGGTCCTTGCACTTGCAAGGCAGGTGGTGGAAAGCAAGATGATTTTAGATGGTGACTCAGCTCTGCAGACAATGCAATGGTGACAGGGTTGAGGGTGATGGACAGGGCTGGCGACCTGCCTTGCAGTTGCTCAGGGAAGACCTCTGGGAGAAGGTGGCATTGTAGCCCAGTGATGAATGATGACTGTGAGCCTGGTTGGACCTACTTTAGCAGGCAGTGTGGCCTGGTTATCAGGATGTTGATCTCAGGCAGGGGAGTTCCTGGTTCTTAGGCCTGCTCTGTTGCAGCCTTCTGGGCTCCATCTCTGACCTGTGAGCACTGCTGTGTTCTCAGCTCATGGACACTCCCAGTTCTTAGGAGTGTTGAGAGTAACGGCAGCAGAAGAAAGAGTAACAAGGGGGCCAAGATCTGCAGAAGTGTGGGAAGGAGAGGAAAACACAAGGCCAAATGAAAGGGCAGGAAAATGGACTGGAGGAGAGCAGAGACACCCGAAGCTGTTTTTGTTTCTTCTGTGCACACACTTTGGTGGGAATCATTTAAAAACTATGGAAAGGTGAAATGCTTAGCAGAAAATCAAATCCCTTCCAGTCACCTGTATTGCACTGTAAATACTTGAATATTCCTGTGTTCTGCTGAAAACACCCAGGAGTCTCTTTTCTCAGTGAATGAAACAATAAAGATTAATGAGTTAATTTGGTAAAGCTGATTCAAATCGCACAGAAGGCATTGCACAAGTACTTGGCATTTGCAAAGTTATTTGACATTTAAAAGGAGATGGCTGTTAATGAATTCAAGGGCTAATCTTATACTTTGACAGAGTGAGCCATGGAAAACCCAGGATTATTATCTTGCTGTAAACATAATGTGATTCAACTGCATAACAAAACTGAGGAGCAATTGCTGTATACAAATACTGCAGGTACACACATACCAAAACTGAAAGGGGAGGCTCATTTATATTTAGTAAATATCTTATCATTTTCTTTCTTACTCTTGGATTATAATGTCCGAACTAGACATGGAGGAACCTTCTCCCCAGGAATATTTCCTCCTTCCCATGTGTGTATTTTGAAGGGTTCCTACCGCGACTGCCTCAATAGAGTCTTAAAGAAAGAGATAAGATTCTGAACCCAGGTGGCCACGTGTCCACCCCTGGGTCTCACAGAGTTTCCCAGGACAAGCATCTGTCCTACAGGCGTCCCCAGGCCTTCCACCCCATGTTTCCCACTTCCTTCTAATTGGGGTTCCCCACCTTGTAGCTGCCGCTCATTGGCTCCAAGAAGAGCTATTGTCCCTCATTAGGGAGGCTGCAACACTCGGCTGTCTAACCGCCTCCCACGCAGCTCACTACCTCATCCTGCCAAGCTCAGGCTGCCAAGAGGCTCTGGGAACCTGAGGCAGGCTGAGCTGCAGGAAGCAAACTGAGCAAGGAAGGGAAGGGCTTTTGTAGCCCAGATCTGAAATGGGAACACACCCCACCATTATCCCACCACATGGGGAGCGTGGGGAGACCTGTGCTAAAACCCTTCAGAGATTTAGCAAGTTGTCACATCAACCTCTGTGCACACAGGGCATTTCTCCCCTCCTGTGAGCAAACAAAAGAGAAACAGTTGGTCTTTCCTGCTGATCACTATTCCCCTCTTCTTGTCTTCTTGTGTTTTTTGGGGGGGTCCCTGAGTCCTGGTGAGGAAGGAAAGATCTGAGAGATTTCATTACCAGGGTGGGGAGGAGGGCTGGGATTCTCAACTCCTCCCTGACCCCCATCAGAAACCACCCCAGACCAAATCCTGGAATGGGCCCTGCCTGCCAGGAGCTTCCTTCCGGCTGAGGGGCCAGGCTAGTCTCCCTGAATTTAGTCTTCTCAGGCCCTGTTATTTTTTCCCATAATCTGTGGACCCAAAGACCCAACAGAAATGGGAACACAGGTGGAGCTGGGTGGAGCATGGAACTCTACTGGCTCCCTGTGACTGGGCTGCTTGGAGGGGTGATCTGAGAGGGACCCCAGCTGTGGCCAAGGGACTACTCCACCATCTCAGGCTCCACTTTGGGCCTCTCTTGATCTTGGTGTGGCTGGCCTGGAGGAGAAAGAGCCCTCCAGTGCACAGGGGATCAGGCAGGACTCTCAGGATCAACCACCTACCCTCCCTGCACTGCCTCTGTCCTGGGAGCAGAGGGACCTGAAGCCACAGTGTGCAGTCTGTGTAGCCATCACCTGGATCCGTCCTGCTCCTCTCGGCCACCTGAACTCCTAGCACTTTTTATGTTCTGAAGATAATTTGGTGCTGGTGAAAAGGGCTGAGTAGAAAGTTTCACAAAGGGTTGGTGTGGTGGGAATACAATGTAATTTTCAGCTCGGGAAGAGCTTTCTTGTTCCCCTCCTGTCAAGAATTTTGGTTTCCTTTCACTTTTTTATATATCTAGGAAAAGAGATCTTTATACCCTCCTGAATGTCTAGAAAGCCCAACAACAAACAAGCACCAGTCTAGGAAGAGAAACAACAATCTCAATTCCTAGTCTTTTTTCCCCCCTGTACTGGGGATCCAACTCAGGACCTTATGCTTACCAGGAAGGTATGGTGCTACTCCCTCCACTCCATCCCTGGTCCTCCTAGCCTTTTTTGAAGGATTCATTTGGTGACTTTTGCCAGGTCACTAAGCTTTCTGTGCCTCGGTTTCTCTACCCAAAAAATGAAGCTCATTAC